CAATATATATATATATATATATATATATATATATATATATATATATATATATATATATATATATATATATGCGCATGGCATGTAGAGCATATATGCAGAATATATATCCCTATAAGAGGGTGCTCTAAACGCGTTAGGATGTGGGCCCCTCTCTCCTTGCATCTAACAGTAAAAATAATGTTGGTTTAGCGCCTGAAGCATTGAATTGAAGTGTGATGGCAGCAAGCAATTCCTTCGGGTGTCTATACAGTGCAGGGCCTTGGCCTTACCATTCTTCTCTTTCTCTCTCGCTTTTCACAAAATCTTCTTCTGCAGCAGAGCTGACGAACTCGCCGAATCCCATGCTGATTGCATCGGCTAAGAGGTTTCCAACTCCGATGATGACAACCTTTGAGGGATGCAAGTTGGCGCCGACACACCCCGCAACAATAGCGAAAATAGTAACAATACCTGTAATAAAAATACACTCAAAACATCTCTAATTCAACTCTGAAACAAGCCATATGTTTCAGGCTTTATGGTTTATAGTCTAGGGGTGTAGGGGGAGCAGCCGTTGCATACACGCACCATCGAGACCCCCAAATACTATTGCTTTTAAATAGTCCGAAGATGTTTGCTTGTGAGACTCTGTATGAGCACATGCCAACTCATTGTAGTTGCTGTGTTGATGGTGGTGATTATGCGCCTCTCTGAAAACGACAACACAAGCGAAACAAATTGAAAGTTTTTGCACTCTTTTTTTTTTTGCTGTCCAAAAAGAAATCTTAACTCGGTAGTTAAAACTTTCCATCAAGCGTCAATACACCACGCCCCCTGAATGCATATTCTACTATGAGATCTTGTTATCTCTCTACATGCACCCAGGAGCCAAGTTCGCTTGCCTTGTGGCGTGTACGTCTCTCGTTTTGTATGCAAGACGAGCCTTGTCGAGGTCCCTGCCCGGAACCCCCCCTTTTGAGCAGCATGGTTGCTGAACTGAAGCGAAGCAGGCGGCCTCAACGGCCCCAGGATTGTCTAGAAGAGGTAGAGATTTGTCGTGTTGCATCGTCCCTATGAACCGACTTGTTCAGGGTGAGGTCTGGAGCCTGCAGTATGTCCTTTCTAGCAAAGTATATATCCACAGTATGCTTGGAAGGTAGGTGTCAACAACTACACCAGAGGGGCCCCTTCTAACCCCCTCGTCGGCCAGTAGGCCACCCTGAGTCAACAGTGAGCAGCGCCCATAGAAGAGCCACAGCTTCCTTGCTAGTCGTTAGGTTCTAGTCATGGTATTGGATATATAAACAAATAATGCGGTTGGCACCCGCCTCAGCAATCTATGCTACAGCTAAGGGGGGTGGGTGTACAGCTGAAGAAGGCGCAGCTGTTTCAAAGATAGTGACAGAGTCAGAAGGTTCTGCAGATTCCTCTGGGAAAGCCGCAATCAGTTGTGATGAAATACTCTGATAAATATAAAGATAAACGCTCATCCTAGCATCAGCTCCTCTAATGACTCAGCCACCCCTCAGTCAGCCCCACAAACGAGCACGCTTACCTCACACGTTCGCAGCATAAGCCATCATACCGTCTTCTTATTATTTTATATTGAAATGTTTAATTTGTTGAATGTTTTGTTCCTTCTTCTATGGTCTGAAGAATTAAACAACAAGAAGAAAAGGGATACAACACCACTGCACCGTATTCATTCCCTGCTGGTGTATGCCTCGGCCGACATCTGGCCAATCGCTACTGCACCGGAGCAGTTGAAACTCAACAAATCACTAATAATTAAATTGTTGCATAGAGTTGTATCTAGGGGCTTCACGGAGTAAATTCCATGTATCGAGGTTCCTCACTAACAGAACCAACGAGTTGTATAAATTCAGCTGCCGTTATTTTTCTGCATCGCTCTGACAATGGCGCTGTTATGAGCAGTTTCATCTTCTGGAATTGCTGCAGAGGAATTCCTTGCGGCGAAGCGGCTCCATTTATATACACTGAGGCTGCTAGGGGATTCATCTTTGGCTAACGTATCATGTTGGGTGTGAGGGGGGTCCTTGATCGTATTCAGGACCGTCACGAACTGCTGTACAGTCAAAATACTTGTTTGCAGGAAGCATGCTACCTCTCTTCTAGCCCCCAGGCAGTCTGGCGCCGGTGGCGCGAAGGCCTGAGAGAGAAGGCGGCCTGAGCTGAGTTAGAGGACACATTGCGTCAACTCCTGCAGCACGGCGGCCGCACGTGCAAGCACAACCTAGTTCCCTTTAGCTGCATGCACTAACGCTATAGACACCTGTTGAACACTTACTTGTCCATTCGGCGCTGAGAAGTAAACGCTTTTCAGTCCGCTTGTGTTTCGATTTGCCGTTCAAACAAACATTTCAAAAGAAGAATATCTGCTCCTGAACTTATTCCTCGCATTCCATCCATAATATTAGCTGAGCACAGGGCGCATTGAGCTTGCGTGCTGCAAGCCTAGACGACTAACTGCTCTGCGGTTTGTGGCGACAGTTAAAATATATTAAGCACAAAGGGAGTGTGAGCACATAGAGGGAAACATAATCCCAGTATATTACTGCTTTCAGCTGGAAAGACGAAGAGTGCCGCTAATCCTCTCTCTAAACTAAGCCGGCCTCCTGTGATCGGCTTTTTCGCTTTTTAACGTGATTTGGCAATGAATACTCACTTGACATGTTGTATATGCACTGAGTATTGAAACAAGTAAATCAAAAGTGAGACAGTGTTTACAACCGTTTAAGCAGGACTGTGTAAATGACACTTGAATATTTTGACGCACTTCCTAGCGCCCCTGCGCAGTTCCACAATTTGCGTGGCGACCGTTTCAATAGCATTTTACTCTGTTTATATTCCCTGTAGTTTTCGGCCTCACTGCGTTTGCCCCGTTCCATGCAAACGATCCAACCGCAGGCCTGGCTTAACGAGGACATTGCAGCATTCAGGAACTTGCTCTGTGAATGTGATTTCGCGTTAATACTACGCACCAAGCCGCAATTGCCTGGTGTTGGTTAACTAGTTGCCGGGTAGCCGATGCAGCTCCAAATTTCCCTTTGATTTCCCACAACTGAAGCGAAGCGAGGCGAGGCCTCGCCTCTTTCCAACAGTGCTGTGTAAAGTGTGCGTTTAGAGGACACCTGAAGATGTGATATTATGATATTAGCGATGACTGCAAATTGATCTAGGCTTTTAACCTTGTCGGAACACGTTGCAAAAAAGCGTTTTTCTTGCTTTCCGAAAACTGTTTTATCATTTCATTGGTAGGAGCAGCAACATGCAGGAACGAGGTGCCTTGCGCGAACTTCTGCTTAGGCAGTGCAGTGTGACTGTCAGGTAACGGCAGGGTATACTTTTGACAAAAGAGCGTTCCAAGCACGAGAGCACTCCCTTTGTTTGGATGAGTTCAAGAATTCCAAGCATATATATATATATATATATATATATATATATATATATATATATATATATATATATATATATATA